TTTTTTTTTTTGTACCAGGGATTGAACTCAGGATCTTGTGCTTGTGAGGCAGGTGGTGAAACAACTGAGCTAAATCCCCAGCCCAATATATTCTATTTTTAAAGAAAATTTTAGTTTTACAGAGTTTAAGCAAGAAATATACTGAGTTCCCATACATTCCCCTGCTCCCCATAGTTTATTAACATCTTGCATTAGTGTGGGACATTTGTTATGACTGACAAGCCATTGTTGATTGTAGTATTACCAACTAAGGTCCACAGATCACATTAGGGTTCACTCTTTGTTTTGTACATTCTATGGATTTTGACAAATAATATGTATCCTCCACTCTATTATCCTATATAGTAGTATTATTTCTCTAAAAATTCACTTTGAAAAATGTTTTCATCCCTTGCTCTTCCTCCCTGAGCCACTGATCTTTTTATTGTAGCTACAGTTTTACCTTTCCAGAATGCCATATAATTAGAATCACATAATATGTAATTTTCCAGATTGACTTCTTAGTGATATGCATTTAAGATTCTTTTATGGTATTTTGTGGCTTGATACCTAATATCATTTTATTGCTGAATAATATTCCATTGTATGGGTGTACCAAGGTTTGTCTATCCATTTATCTATTGAAGGACATCTTGATTGCTTCCTAGTTTTGGCCATTATGAATAAACTACTATAAACATTCATGTGTGGATTTAAGTTTTTCAACTGATTAGGACAAATACCAAGAAGTATAGGTGCTAAATCATATGGTAGGGGTATGTTTCATTTTGTAAGAAAGTACCAAGCTGTCATGCAAAATAACTATCATTTTGTATTCCCAATAGTAGTTAATGAGAGTTCCTGTTACTTCACATTCTCACAAGCTTTCAGTGTTTTGGATTTTGGCCATTCTAATAGGTGTGTAGTGGTATCTCATGCTGTAATAACATATGATATTGGTCATCTTTTCATAAGCTAATTTTTCATCTCTGTATCTTCATTAATAGGTGTCTGTTCCAGTCTTTTGTTCACTTTTTAGTTCAGTTTTTCATTTTATTATTGTTGTGTTTTAAGAGTTCTTTTTATATAATACTCCTTTATCAGATACGTATTTGTCAAATGTTTTCTCCTAACTTGTGGGTTATCCTCTCATTCTCTTGATAGTTTCTTTCACAGAGAAGTTTTTAATTTGAATGAATCCAGCATAAGAATTACTCCTTTCATGGATTGTCTTTGGTGATGTATCTAAAAATTCACCACTATATCCAAGGTCATCTTTAATCAGCATTTTACATTCCTTTGCATATTGATTCTTTGTATATTTATTAAGACTCATACTTAAGTATTTAAATTTTTGAGCTGTCTTAAATGATGTAAAATTTTGATTTCCAATTGCTTATTGCTGGGATATAGTAATGGAACTGATTTTTGTAAGTTTTCTTGTTTTGTATTTTTTCCCACATTTATTGACCTTGTGCTTGCAAGGCAGGTGGCAGAACCACTGAGCTAAACCCCCAGCTCACCTATCTCAAAATTTAAAAAACATGAGAAACTGAAAGTGTAAAGAAGGATGAAAATGATTAAAATGAATAATTGATAATTTGAAATAGGAAAAGGTTCAAAGGTGTAGGGGTGGCAGGAGGGGAAGGGGAAAGCGAAGGAGGGAAAGGAAAAATTATGAGAAAGAAAAAAAAATGGAAAGAGTCTATGTAAATAGGGAAGGGTGGAGGGGGTGAAGGGTGCACAGGTAATGGGGGAAAAATAAGAACTAGGATACATCACGTTCAGGTACAAATACCTAATGATACATGTAAATGTATTGTATACCTAAAATGTACCAATAAATATATAAATTTTTTAAAAAATTAAAAA